AATTTCAATTTTCAACACTAATTTTAAACCAAACGAAGTCTGTTTGGCGGATTTTGTCTGTTGGACAGGAGGAAAAACTGCTTGCAGAGCTGGTCTGTTTGGCAAAAATCCCTTACATGGGAGGTCTGTTAGGCGGGGGGCCACTGTACATCCCAAAAAGCAAAACTGCACAACTGATATGAATATGTACACTTCCTTCCCTTTACTGTTCACAAAAAACAAAATATCAATAATAAAAATTGAAACATAAAGCAATTACTATATACTGTATAAGCCCAAATTTAAGCGCAAGGTTTTCAAGCTGCTCCCAGCAGCAGATAAGGTTTAGATGACAAAACAATTTGGAGAGAATTTTTGATGAGGATTCATATAAGGTTAACAAATTATCTTAGACCTCTAAGATTTCAGTTAGTAATATGGATAGCTTGGTTGTGAATCACTGGTCAAATACTTCAGTAGGTTGAAAATGCAGCATTTTAAATTTTTGGAAAAGAAAACATATCCCATTATGTTATTCATATTTTGCAGCCGAAATGGATTTTATTTGTTCAAACATGCAGCATCTTGTATCAGGTGCAAATGTATAGTCATGTACTTCATCAGCATTAGTTGCATTTTTTGATCGATATAATGTCTGCATTTCTATATTATATACACTGGATGGAAACATGGAATTCACGACTTTACTGCTTTATACTGTATAGTTGGTCATCACAAACTTGTTTGAAGCAGCAGTCTTGGCTGTGAAACATGATTACATTCTAACATTTCTTCAGATGTACTTTACTACAGTATTTTGTTTCAAAAATTGTAGAACATATTAATAGCATCATCAGCCAACAGAATCAGAGACACATGAAGAAGATGTATTTTACACATTATAGTCTGTATATTCATGAGCCCAGCACTTCATTCAGAAAACTCAGTGTATCATTAAAAAAAAAAAGTACTAATTGGTGTGCTAACCTTGAGCATCCCTGTAGTAGGCGTGTGTGACACTCCTGAACCTCTCCTGGCCAGCAGTGTCCCAGATTTGAAGCTTCACCTTCTTTCCATCAACCTC